CAAGCATAATTTTATAAAATGGTCAGTGTCTTAAGGAGGGGAAAGGGGGCTATTTGAAATTCCATTTTCTATTTTCCTTTCATAATCTCTAAATATAACATTTAAACTGTCATCATGAATGCACATATATATTTACACGGCTGTAAATCTGTCAAATTAGAGCCATTTGGAGAAGATTCTCAGAGAATTTTTCAAAGGTCTCAGAGTTGATAACAAAACATTGGCTCAAAAGCAAGGAGACCGAAATTATTTTTATCACTTTGCTCCAAATTTATTGAATAGCCTGGAGTCAACCAGTGTGCTAAAAGTGACCTTGTACACTGCCCAATTTAAGGGGAATGTTCTGGGAATCAGATAATAATTTTAGGATGCTTAGGACAGCTGGTTTGAGAGAGATAAACCAAAATGCAAACAGTTCCTTATATAGAACCTGTCTAATATGTATTATTACTGAAGCACAGAGGTTAAAAAAACACAAATATTTAGAAGATTATTTTGTGCTTTTCCTATTCTTTATTTCAGTTAGTAGCATGATCATCCAATAAACTGCATTGGTCAGAGGTAGGTATATTTAAATAAATAAATTAGCATTTATTTGTTGCCTACTATCTACTAGGCACTTAAATGTGCTAACCTTTTAACCTTCACAACCATCCTATTTTATAGACAATGACACTGAAGTTCAGAAAGGCTAAGTAACTTATCTAAAATCACTGAGTTAATGGAGCCTACTTATCTATTTCTCTATTCCTATCTCTTCGTCTTCACATCCTTGGCCAATGCTTCCAATAGGCTATGGAATCTTAGAATTGCACCTTCTGAGTCTCTCTTGAGTATGTACCTCTGTCTCAGTTTAAAGCCTTTGCCATTTCTCACCTAATCTAATACATGAGTTTTTAATGGTTTCTTTGGTTCTGAAGTTGATTATTCTTTTTGTACGAGAACATGTAGTCTTAAAAGATTTTTTATTCTAAACACAAAACTGTTTATGTCATTCTCATTGTATTATCTTTCTTTATCCCTGGTTTATGAGTTACTTATGAGCAAGGGTAACTTCAGCAACATGGCAGACTAAAAAGCTATAGGCCCTCATTTCCCTATAGAAACACTATATAAAGAGTAACCCAGGGACCAACATAGCCTTGTAGGAACTCTAGAAACTGGTTAAGAAGCTGCAGCAACCAAATGAGTATCTAATTTAAACACACACACACACACACACACACACACACCCCAAACTTTTGAGTCCTATCGTTTTGACAACAGGACATTTTGTCACCTTTACCCCATCTTCTCCCCAGCATAGCATGGTATGCCACCTAGTCCCACTTCCTCTCTCAGGGCAGAAGGAAAAGAGTGAAACTTGCTTGCAATCTTATGACTTTTCTGGCAGCTGTCCAAGGGACTAGTTTCTGTCTGGCCTGACTAGTAGCACTGAAGGGAACAGCAGCAAAACTGGCATATTAATTGAAGGCTGCTGAAAGCAGTGGCAGGAACAGTGGTTTTTGGGCCTCTGGGAAATTGCACCTGTGGACAAAATATTATGGGCAGAGGAATATAATAGAATATCTAGTGCCCTGAGAAGAAGCAGAATGAGAGTCTTAGAAAAAATAAGACACTTAAAGCATCTGAGTATAAAGGGAAGTTGGGGGAAAAAACACATGTGCCAGTCCTGGAAAGGCAGATTTCCAGAAAAAATCTGAAAGGACCTTGAGATATCATGAGAGGCTGATTATTGGAGGTCCCATAAAGCCAATCTGCAAAGACTGGGAGAGAGGCTGTTCTTTCAAATGCCCAATTTTCAACAAAAGATCACAAGGCATACAAAAAATGGGGAAACACGGGTCACTTAAAGAAACAAACTAAATCTCAAGAAACTGACTCTAAAGGAAACACAGGCCTTGGAATTAACAAAAGCTTTAAAACAACTTTTTAAATATGCTCAATGAGCTAAAGAACTGTACAGACTAGCAACTAAACAAAATCAAGAAAATGATGCATGAACAAAATGAGACTGTCAACAAAGATATGTTTTTTAAAAAACCAAACAGAAATTCTAGAGTTGAAAAACACAATAACTGAGTTGAAAAACTTGGTAGAGGCTGGGTGCGGTGGCTCATGCCTGTAATCCCAGCACTTTGGAAGGCAGAGGCGGGCGTATCACAAGGTCAGGAGTTCGAGACCAGCCTGGCCAACATGGTGAACTCCTGTCTCTACTAAAAATACAAAAAAAAAAAAAAAATCAGCTGGGCGTGGTGGTGCACCCCTGTAATTCCAGCTATTCAGGAGGCTGAGGAAGGAGAATCACTTGAACCTGAGAGGCAGAGATTGTAGTGAGCCAAGGTTGCACCATTGTGCTACAGCCAGGGTGACAGGACGAGACTCTGTCTCAGAAAAATAAAAAAGAAAAACTTGCTAGAGGGGTTCAACAGCAGGTTTGAACATGCAGAAGAATGAGTAAACCTGATGACAGGTTATTTGAAATTACTTTCTGATTAATAAAAGAAAAAAGAGCAAAGAAAAATAAACAGAAACAAAGGAATTTATGGGACACCATCAAGTGGACTAATATAGGCATTATGAGAGTTACAGACGGAGAACAGACAGAGAAAAAGACAGAGAGCATATTTCATGAAATAACAACTGAAAACTTCCCAAATTTGAGGAAATACATGAATATACAAATACAAGAATCTCAACAAATGAGCCATGTAGGATAAACTCAAACTCACAAAGAGATACGTTATAATCAAATGAGAAGGTCAAACACAAAAACAGAATCTTGAATGTAGCAAAAGAAAAGTGACTCTTCTTGTACAATACAATTATCAATAGATTTATCAGCAAAAACCTTGTAGGCCAGAAGGATGGCATATTTAAAGTACTGAAAAAAAAAAAGTCAACTGCAAATACTCTATCACAGGCTGGGCCTGATGGCTCACGCCTTTAATTTCAGCACTCTGGGAGGCTGAGGTAGGCAGATCACTTAAGGTCAGCAGTTTGAGTTGAGCCTGGCCAACGTGGTAAAACCACATCTCCACTAAAAATACAAAAATTAGTGATTGCGGGCACCTATAATCCCAGCTACTCAGAATGGTGAGGCAGGAAAATTGCTTAAACCTGGGAGGTAGAGGTTGCTGTGAGTCAAGATTGCATCACTGCATTCCAGCCTGGGTGATATCTCAAAAACAAACAAACAAACAAACAAAAAAAGTATCTGACAAAACTGCCCTTCAAATATCAAATATGAGAGTAAAATTAAGCCATTCCCAGATAAACAAAAGCTGAGGGAGTTACCACTAGACTTGCCCTAGAAGAAATGCTAAATGTGATTCCTTAAAGTTGAAACAAAATGATGCCAGAAAGTAACTCAAAAACCATATGAAAATATAAAGAATATAAAGTTCTCCAGAAAAGATAAATTCTCAAATATAAAAACCTGTACTATTGTAATTTTTGTTTGTACCAACACTATTTATTTTTTATATGATTTAAAAGACAAAAACATTAAAGAGAGTTATAAATCTCATATAGCGGCCACTAAGAAAATAGAATATACAATAAGAAACTGAGAAGGGAATAAAAACATGTCACTACAAAAAAAGAATCAAGTAAACACAAAAGAAAGGCAAAAGGAAATGAGGGACAAATAGCTATAAGGCTTATAAAACACAAATAACAATGGCAATAGCAAATCTTTATCAGCAATTGCTTTAATTTTAAATAAATTAAACTCCCTAATTAAGAGACATAGATCAGTATAAAGGACTTATAGGAAACTGAATTCAACCATATGCTGAGACTCATCTTAGATCCAGGAGGGACATGCTAATTGAATGTGAAAGAATGAGAATAGCTACTCCATGCAAACAGCAGCAAAAAGAGCGCAGGGGTGGCTATATTATTATTTGACAAAAAAGACTTAGGTCAAAGAGTTACAAGAGAAACAAAAGGGCATCCCAAAATATAAAAGGATCAATCCACCCCCCAAAATTATAAACATATATGTACCAAACAACAGAGCTCCTAAAAATATGAAGCAAACGCTGATAGAATTGAAGGAAGAACTACAACAGTAGTAGGAGACTTCAATACTTATGAGCCAGATCTAGATGAATGCTTGGCAGGTAACAGGTACTCAAAAAGTGTTTCCAGAATGAATGAATGATTTATTGCATGATCCTATGAATTATAGTCATGAGGAGAAAAATGTGGAGCAAAGATCAGAACAATAAAAATTATAAGTATTGCTAATACAAAAATGAAGATTAGATAAGCAAAGATGATCCTAGTCAATGATGAAAAAAAGTCAGAATTAGTATTTGGGGACTCCTTGGAAGAAGTATTTACTTTTAAAGGTATTTAGGGAGATAAATAAAATATCACACTTAAAAACAATGTCCATGGACTGGGCATGGTGGTTTATGCCTATAATCCCAACACTCCGTGGAGCCAAAGTGGGAGGATCACTTGAAGCCAGGAGTCAAGACCAGCCTGGCAACATAGCAAGACCCTATCCCTACAAAAAAATAAAAATAAAAAGAGCCAGCTTGGTGGTGCACAGCTGTAGTCCCAGCTATTCAGGAGGCTGAGGTGGGTGGCTCTCTTGAGCCCAGGAGCTTGTGGCTGAAGTAAGCTACAATTGTGCTACGGTACCCCAGCCTAGGGGACAAAGTGAGGAAAGAAGAAAGAAAGAAAGAAAAAGAAAGGAAGGAAGGAAGGAAGGAAGGAAGGAAGGAAGGAAGGAAGGAAGGAAGGAAGGAAGGAAGGGAGAGACAGAGAGAAAGAGAGAAAGAAAAAGAAAACCAAAAGTTGTCCACATGGCTTATATGTTTCTGGGCATTATATCTATTATATCTACACACTGATATATAACATTAATAATTTAAGTGTGAAAGTAACATAGGCATAAATAATTGTAATGGGAAGCACAGTAGTTGCTGTTAGGTGTTGAAGGTTACCTAACTACAAAGATTTCGTGTAACCAGAGCATTCAGTGCTCCTGCAGTTCACTTCTTTGAATGACTATTTAATCTCATACAAGTGAAAGTGGCTTCAAGTAGAAATTATCTTGATGTTGGCCTGGGCCAAAGGACTTTTCCAGTTCACTGCAGTCACCCTTGGAAACCGCAGCATGCATAAACAAAACTTTGGAGACTGGGAATTCCCAGATAAGAAAGGAAGACAAGGTGAGTAAAACTAAAGGGTTTGTACAGACAGCATTTTCATGGGGCCTTTACTACTGCCCTTTTGGCAGATAAACTGGGCGTCTGGAAGAAGCTGTTGATGGAAACAAATAACAGATTAAATCCTTGTGTGAGCTGATGAGTGTTGCTGTAACAACAACAAATACTGTTTTGCATGAGCACAAATGGTAACTCCAAATGTAGCCAGACATAAGAAAATCGTGACAAAAGTCACAAGAGAGGTCAGGAGAGAAAGTGTGAGTGGATAAAGATGAAGGCAGTCCCTTGACAGAAAACTTGAAGCATCAGTCTGTTAGCAGTATCTTTACATGAAAATATCTAGTATTTGATAGCATGACAGTGTGACTACAGTCAATAGTAATTATATGTTAAAAAATAAAAGAGTGTACTTGGATTGTTTACAACACAAAAGATAAATGTTTGAGGTGACAGATACCGTTTACCCTGATGTGATTTTACACATTGTATGCCTGTGTCAAAATATCTCATATACCCTATAAATATATACATCTACTATGTACCCACGACAATTAAAAATTAAAAAAAAAAAAAAACTTTTCCCCAACTGTAATGTCCACAATCGCAATGGATCTTCATGTCTTTATCGCATTTCTTGTGCTCAGAAAGATAAGATTCCTGTTTTTCTGATAAAGAACCCAAAGCACACAGTTCACATAATTAGTAGACCTTTTTTCTCCAGATCCCAGAGATTTTGTTCTTTTCTATCAATAAATTTTGTTTTTCTTTTAAAATTTGCATAATTAAGTAGCAAGGTTATTCTATAAGTATGTGTTTTGGAGTTGCCATACTCTTTTTCTATATAATGAATATCGGGTAAGTTCCCCTTAAAAAAAATAAATCACAAAACAGATTAAACATTTAAGTAGCAGCACCTTTTTTTTTTAAATTTCCCAGTAAAAATTAAAAGTAAACTAATTTATTTCTTCTAAGTAAATAAACACAAGTATTACAGCTGGAAAGAGGCAATAATACTAAAACTCTGGGGCCAGCAACATTTGCAATTAGCCCAGGAGGATTTCTTTACAGATAAGCAAACTGACCAGAGAGGTCAACTCATGTCGTTAGTTATACAGCCTGGATGATGAAGCCCAGGTCTTAGTGTATCTTCAAAAACAGTGACTGCTTCACCTTTAGAAAAAAAAATACAGCTCACTCTGCAAGCAATCCATCTCTAAAAAGGAACATATTTTTAAAGAAAAAGTAATGTTTGATATTCATAGCTAATTATCTTTATTCTAGTCACCCAGAGCACATCCCAAGCCTAGAGAATATGGCATCATCTTACCTGGGCTTAAAAGTGGCACCACACCCCAAATGATTAATGTATAAATACATATTTGATTACGAACATGACAAGTCAGGAATGCTGGACCAGCCAGAAATAGGTATGGGAGCAACTGTTATTAAATATTTAAATAGCACTGATGTACACTAAGTCCGATGTGCCAAACATGTGAAGTCCTTGCCCTGAGGAGTTTGCTGTCAGCTGTAAAGCTGGTTATTCCAGAGATGTAGTTATGTTGCTTCATTCGGTAAATGATCCATTCCATACATCAAAGAGCCATCATTTCAATAAGCTTTCTTAGGGGTAAGAATTTATACCCAATTATTTGATGCAAAATTTGTATACACTTGTCACTATATTAGTAATTCTAGGAAATTTACTTTTATTTTCTGACAAGTTTAAGATTATCTCACCTTGTTGAGTCTCTTTTCATCCTTTGTACTTTATTCTTCTGTATTGTTGCACAAAATACAATTCTGCAACTATGGCATACGCAATGACATCAGCAAAACTGAAGTGAATTAGAAAGTTTTGATTTTGTAAATCTGTGTTAGACAAGAGAAACTGGCTATGTCAAATAATCATAGCCAACCATATGTGCAGAAGCAAGATAAACTGGTAAAGAATACTGACTCAAAAACATTATTCAACTTGATTGGCACATGAAAAGCCAACATCATCTTTATCCAGGATAGTAAGGAAAAGAGGAGTGAAAACAGTGATGTTGCCTTTGACGCAAAATAATTGTATTTAGCTCAGGTGATGTACAGAGGATATTGTATTATATTTCTCACTTGCATAAATCTGTGTAGGACTTAAAGTAGTCAGTAAGACAACAGGGATATCCTAAAGTAAAAACAAAACAGCAAGAATCCAAGTGATAAGGGTCTGGAGAGAAGAGAGAAAATTAATATTAAGGAAGATTACAGTTTCTTAGAAAACGATTTAGCGCTGTGTATGTTTCCAAGGGCTAGGACAGAGCAGGTAGTTTAGACAGATAGGCTAAATATTTACTCATTCATTCATTCATGTGATACAGTTTTCTGCCTTCAGAAGCCTTGGAGCCTGGGTTGGGGATGGCAATACCAATACATATGTACAGACTTAAATGCTATAATAGCATCATGTGTAAAGACCTGTGGGATAAAAGGCAGAATACAACTAAATGATCTGGGGGTGGGAGTGTGAGGGACAGTTTGAGAGATACGATGACATTGGAGCTTAGCCTTGGAATAGAGTATGAGTCAGAGACAAGCAAGGTAGGCAAATGAGGATGGCTGTGTGAGAACATACACCACGGAATGCCATCAGGGTCAGAGAGCAGTCTATGGTGTCGTGTGACCAAAGCAGTGTGCAGAGAAAGATAAGGACCAGGAAAGAAAGCCTTATATTTGTGCAGTGGGCCGGACTGAGAGGACTCCTGGGTCTTCAATGCAGTGCTGAAGAATGTGGGCTTGATTCCAAAAGCTTAAAAATGAGAGAGACACTATCAAAAAAAAAAAAAAAAAAGCAGATTATTACAGAAAATCTACCAGGGGATGAGAGAACTACTTCAGGAATGCAGTTCTAGACTCCAGGGGTCTTTAGGATGGTAGAGATTCCCGGGATCAGCTATTATTTTTATGCCACTTTAGAAGGAAGAATCCAGGACACATTAGGTGGGTAAATTATTGGCTAGATTCACACAATATTAATGGAAGAGGGGAGAGTATAACACAGTTCTGGCAACGAAGGGCTTCAGCATTTCCAGAGCACCCACTGTGGGCAGAAATCACTGGATACATGTCAGGGAAAGGGAAAAAAAAAATAGAAAACTTAGCTCTTCTCTTCAAAGAGCTAATAATTAAGATAGAAAAATGACAGAAGCATGCCAAAAGACAGTAAGCTTATTAGGAATAATATAGATACTTATTTACACAAGAGTTGATATCTTCCTGAAAAGCATATATCCCACTTTAATACAATGAATGATTTAAAATGCATTTATATAAGGAAATTTATCAATTCATAGTATGGATAATTTATACACTTGATAATGACCCTCCAATCAGTTTCTGATTTTTTTGTAATTAAATTATTTTTCAAAAAGGACAAAGCTATACTGTAAAATGCATTGCAAAAAGCTACCCTCATTGAGTAATGTTGTGACTCAAATTAACATATGAACTTATCACAAACTACTGAGCAATAAAAATATAAAATAATGTGGAACTCTGCTAACAAGACAGTCTTGCTCACTGATCCTTTGCGTTCCCTGGGTTGATCCCAAACAAGCTTTATCTTCTATGTGCCTTAGCTAAACAGGTCACTGTGCCTGTTCAAGTGAATACAACCGTTGTTTTCATAGCAAGAGAAATCCTCTTAAGACAGGAGAAACGTGAGTGTTACCCCTTCCTAATGAGTGGACCAAAATTTTAACTGACAGAGCTTCCAAAAAGAGCGTGGTCTTTGGTTAAGTAAGATGGTCTGAGCAACAGGATGATTGAGGTATCTTTAACTCCAATCACCACACAGATTTTCCAGGGCTCTGTTTGGACTAAGGTTTATCGTGTATGGAAAAGAGAAAAAAATGCTCTCTGGATTCCAATTGCCTTCTGTAGAGGATGAGTCCTGTCAGACTACAGAGTTTCTCAAAGAATAAGCCAAAGATCCCTCTAACAGAACCAAATCATGACTATTAAGAGTACCTATTCCTCAACCAACCCCAAACCTGGTAAACCAGCATCTGAAATTTGAACAAGATTTGCAAATAGTTCTCCTGGACTCTGATGATAACCATGGGCTGAAAGGGAGTAGAATCAGGTGGTCCTTTGGTTTCAATGGGTACCTTGATTGGTTTCAGATGAGCAATGATAGGTCTGAAGAAGGGCTTGAGAGCAGGGCTGGAAAGAGCAGAATTGCTCTATATGATAGAGGAAGAAGAAAGTAAAATTCGGGGGACATTATGATAGAAGGAAATTTGAAAGGAAAGATGGAAGGGAAGGAAAAAGAGCCATCTTGATGGCCAGAGGTTGAACATGCTTTAAGAAATCTCGAAGGGGAGGGTGGATGAGAGGGCAGCTGAGAGGGCTTTTGAAAATAGGGTCCTCTGCTGTTAAAAGTTGTTTGTGCTGAATAAATATCTATATTTGGAATTCTGTTTGTCTCTTCAGACATCCACAGAATCCACTACACATACAGAGGGCTTTTATGGTTGAGTTTTTATTTGTATAAATCAAGGCAAGAAGGTGCATTTCATTTCTGAACCCACACAGTGCAGAATAGAGGGAATATGGGAAAAAAATTCTTAAATGTCTCAAAAATGAAAAACAAACAAACAAAACATTCACAGGAGCAGAAACTGAAGCACAAGGACCCATGTCCCTGAAAAGTTATAAAAATCGTTTGATTGGTCCTGATACTATCCACAGGTATAGAATGGAAGCTTGACCCACCTACTTAAATTTTAAGAGCAAAGTGCTCCTATACGACATTTGAGTTATATGAAGTTACATGATCTTTTCCTTCTACTATTCAACAAAACAATCAAAAAACAAAAGAAAATGACCATCTACATATTCAAACTCTTGTGCTTAGAAGAAATTGGCTTCGTATTTGTTTTTAAAATTTGCTTTATTAGGCAATGATCATTTCTAACACCTCTCTTTGGAGGTGTAGAACTTTCAGTTAGATACCTTTTTAAGCTGAGGACCACATAAAATAATAGGGTGACATGTTTTTCAGGGACTAAATTGAGCCCTGACAAGCTACAAAAGGGGACCCACTTCCCACAAATGAGCAAAGTATTTAATTTTCAATGACAGACACAGGCTCACAGCTGCTCCAGAAGCATATTTAGGGCAAGTCTACTGTTTCCATTCACTGCCACTTTAATCAGAGGTTTCTTAACTGATTTTTAAATAGAGATTTGGTTGAAATCCATGTGGGAAAAATGATGCACTTTTTTGTTCAACTACTAAGATACATAGCAGTAATGCTGCTTTTAGTTACAAATTTTGTAACATGAGAATGGAATAAACTTCAGAGAGTATTTGGTAAAGGACAACTTAAAGCTAAGAAGTTGCAAATTTTCACCCAGTTTCAAATTTGTTCTCTTAAGGCTTAACAGGTTGTTGTCATATGCCTCAGTTTCCTCATTGTGATATGGGAATAGTTACAAATCTCAGTCTGGGAGGATGGTGACCATTTAGTAGACCCTTACCTTTCAAAAGGAATATATCCTGAGACATAGTCCTCAAAAAGGAATATTTAGGGTCCTGGTTTTCTCCTAGATCATATCTCTGAGGAGAATCACATTTCCTGTGTGTTTCCTTGAACTAAAGTTATAATACCTTGAAATAAAACCTCCTGTTTTTCACTTGATGGCTCTTTTCATCAAAGAAAGACGTTTTATCTCTTAAGGACAGCCTGCAAAATAAAACCAGTTGAGGTCTTGATGCTGTTCACTAGGCTAGGCTCACCTGTCAGTAAGTGTCTCACCAGGTGTGACTGACATGCACTTTTAAATACCCAACCTCTACTTATACACCAGCTCCGCCCACCAGTATCTGGTGCACAGCAGAGGGCATGTGGGGTGTTTAATAAACACAGGCTGATGCATGGATTGCTGGCCTCTGGGACCCACAAGAAGGTGTGGGTATCTTTTTCTTCTCACTTTTCATGCATACAAGAATGACCCAGAGGTTCTTAAACTAGGTTTCTGTGATGATCTCATGAAGGATGATGCCATAGAACATTATGGGAACAGACCCTTCGTGTCAACTGTTTTTGTAGTGCTACATTTTTTCATTTGTAAAATCAGTGCATTGAATTTGATGCTCTCTATGATTTTTTTCAGATCCACAATTCATTGATTCTTTGATTCTCCACTGTGCTCACTGCCAAGTGAGTTATTTTGTCTAAGTTCCTCAACGGTCCAACCACCAAGCACTTTTTGAAGCTTGATCTATAAACAAAAATAGTAAATCCCCAAGAATCGAAGGCGTATCTTATAGAAGACTAATAATTAGGAGGGAAATAAGGAAACTTTTGAGGAAACATCATAGGTTTTCAAGATGCCCTATCATTGATTAAGACAGTAACTGACAACAAACTAAAAATAGCTCATTGATGTTCAGGCTTGGCAAGATCCAAGCTTAAAGAATCGATGTGATTTTTTTAAAAGTATGTAATTCTATTTGTCTAGTAATTAAAACACTTTAAAAGTGGAATATACATCTCAACCAATCATATTCCTTAAAAGCTGACTAGGGAAATACTATCACTGGGATTAAATTCATGGCATTTCACATTTTACAACTTTTACATAAAGTCCTATTATGCAGCATTTAAATAAACGCTGTGTGCCACTCAGTTCAGCAATGAGTAACATGCAGCAATGTGGCACATTCAGATTAGAACTGTAGAGTACAAGAGATTAGGGGGTCATAAACATTTTGGTTTGGGGTTGGGGCAGAATTCTAGTCAGCTGGTTAATGTGCATTTTGTGTACAACTTTCATATATTGATCTATTTTATAGCATTTATGAATCCTAAACTTCTACCTTTAAAAGAAACAAAATCATAAATCCACTGCTCTACTATAGCTCCTGAAAGAATGTAGTGAATTTGAGCAAATTTTTATCTACTTCTACACACTGTATTTTCACACATAATGAACCTAACTCACAATGCTGGACTTGTGTCTGAACATAAAATGTCATATATTGGCATGATGTCTACCTCTGCCGCACAACGACAACAGAGCTAGAGTCTATTTTAATTTTACAGCAATAAGAGGCGGACTGCTCTAGGAAGGCCTTTCAAGGAGAAGTGCAACAGAATGAGAAGCCAGCAACTCTTATGAGCCTCAGTCTCTCTCTCTGTCTCATCCTCCTCTTCCACACCAGCCAACATTCCCATAAAACCTAAAAAGGTAGGGTAGAAATAGAGTTTGTTGTTGTTTTCGGGGAGAATGAAACAGAAACCTTCCATTCTTACTATCTCATTTCATTCAATCTTCTGTTAACTCATCATTATTTTCAATGTTTGGGAACTTATAAATAACCATTCATTCATTCATTCATTCATTCATTTATTTTGAGATGAAGTCTTGCTCTGTTGCCCAGGCTGGAGTGCAGTGGTCCACCTCAGTGCACTGCAACCTCCGCCTCCCGGGTTCAAGTGATTCTCCTGCCTCTGTGTCTCAAATAGCTGGGATTACAGATGTCCACCACCACACCTGGCTAATTTTTGTATTTTTAGTAGAGACAGGGTTTTTCCATGTTTGCCAGTCTGGTCTCAAACTCCTGACCTCAGCTGATCAGCCCAGCTTGACCTCCCAAAGTGCTGGGATTATAGGTGTGAGCCATGGTGCCCAGTCCAAATAACCTTTTAAAGAAGGAACCCTTACTCATCAAATCAGCAGTGATTCCCTTCATGCTTTCCTTCATTTTTAACCATCTAGGTGATATTTAAGTAACTTCCTCATTTCCCACAGGCAAGCACAAAACCCAGTTTCTTACCTGCAGTTTATCAGTTAACTAGCCTTGTGTGTATCAATCAACTTTTCAAAATAAAAACTTCACACTTTCCCTACTGGGAAAGATGTCTGTGGATGTAGGTGTCACATTATTTTATTTCTGCTGTTTTTCCTCTTCTTCTTCCTACTCCTTCTTCGTTCTTCTCCTTCTTCTTCTTCTTTTTTTTTAAAGTTCTTTCTGCTGAGCATGTTAGCCAAATTTCTGGCAGGAAGTTTTCTTTCTCTCCTCCCATCACCCCTCTTAGTGCAGGTTTTGAGTTTTCATTCTCAGTAGCCTCTTGAAGGAAACTGTTCTTGACAATTTCCCTTCCTGCCACATGCCTATGTTTGTGCATGTGGGAATGCTTGGTGTGGAAATCAGAAAGTAATTTACTGCCAGTAAAATGGCTTCTATCATTACTATAAATATTAACTTAAGCATGGTTAAACGTACAGTCTTCAGTCCCCTACTTTTTGATGAAGAACTGAATAGCTTGAGTATATTTGAAATGGCAAAGTTCTTTCTAATTTAGCAGAATTAAGAAAAAATACAAGGCCATGACTTTGTGATGTTTATAGTTTTCCAAAACTGCTTTGCCTTTTATTTAAATAATTATATAGTGATTCATAACATTATTACAATAATCACATTTCAACAATATTTCTTTTTTGAGAAGTTGCCAGATTGCTATTTGTTTCATATGGATAGGCGATTAATAACAAAAGAAAATATGTAGCTGTAGTTTACCCTAATTCTGAGTAACAAAGTTTCTGTGCAGCACTCAGTATCACTGATGATGTTCATTAACTCTTCTTCATTAAACATGTCTGTATTTTATAATACCACTTATATTATTGAGAGCTTTCATTTTTAAAAATCTTAAAATATTTCTCGTTCATCCAACTTATTCTAATCAGCTGCCTCTAACAGACACTGTTACCATTTTCAAAAATTCACTGTTGCATGTTCTCACTCACATGTGGGAGCTCCCCCAGGATTTAAGCTAATGGAAGCAGAAAGGATTGGGGGTATTAGAGGCTGGGAAGGGCAAGGGGGAGGGAAGGATGGGGACAGATTGGTTAACAGATATAAAATTACAGCTAGATAGGAGAGTTCTGGTGTTCTGTAGCACTGTAGGGTGAATGTAGTTAACTATAATTTATTATATATTCTCATAAAGCCAAGACCGGGTGAGATGGCTCACGCCTGTAATCCCAGCACTTTCGGGACGAGGCAGGCAGATCACTTTAGGTCAGGAGATCGAAACCAGCCTGACCAACATGGTGAAACCCCGTCTCTAATAAAAATACAAAAATCAGCTGGGTATGGTGGCACATGCCTGTCATCCCCGCTACTAAGGGGTCTGAGGCAGGAGAATTGTTTGAACCTGGGAGGCTGAGGTTGCAGTGAGCTAAGATTGTGCCACTGCACTCCAGCCTGGGTGACGAGAGTGAAACTCCATCTCAAAAAAAAAAAAAAAGCTAGAAGAGAGAATTCTGAATGTTTGCAACACAGAGAAATGATAAATGTTTGAGGCAATGTATATACTAATTACCCTAATTTGATCATCACTAATTGTATATCTGTATGGAAATATTACTGTATCCCATAAATATGTACAATTATTATATGTTAACTAAAAATAAAGGGGAAAAAAAGATGGTTGAGAGGCACAGAGAGAGTCCTAATGTTTTACCCTATGCTGCAAGCAGAGTTTAGACCAAAGATCATAAGATGGGTGTGTTTGGACCTCTGCACTCTGCAGTTCTGGTTTTTATAGTTATGAGTGGAGACCAGAAGGCACTTTGCATATGATGAAACTCAAATTATAGGTTCCTCTTCTGCCAGAGAACACACTAAGCTTTAAGGGTGGTAGTGGTTGGGTGGGTAGGTGGAAGGGGACTGGATTGCATGGGGCAGCAACAGAGGCCTGCCAGGCACAGCTGCTTCCTCTTTCTTACACGTGAAACTTAAACTAGTTTACAAATAACTTTAATCTTTTCAGATCTCTTCCATTTTCTTTAAGTCGGTAGTTCTTGACCAGGGGATGGGACAAACATCAGATGAACCCAGGAAAACGTTCACACTGCAGTGAGAAGCCTGGCCCAGGGTAGATTTGGTAAATCACATCTTATGGTCAGTGCCCACGGATTTTGGAAAACCTCCTTCAGAAATTCAGATCTGCACAACTGTTTGAAAACAAAAGCTCTAAATTGCTAAGTTAATATTCCTTTTGATATGCAGGGGCTCCAAGATATTCTCAAAAGACCAGAAACTGTTCCTGAGTTGGGACTTGAGGAGGGAGATTCGACTTATGACCCTTTCCTACTTAGCTGTTTTTTAGAGGGTGGAGAACAGACATAAATTACAAAAAGCAAACTAACCCCCAACAAAGAAATCTAGATGAGGAGGACACGTAAGGCCCTGGGACTTTCCTGTAGGAAAATACATCACTGTCACTTAGGGATTCTCTACCAGATGACATAGTATCAGTATTGCCATTAGCTGATACAACAGGGAAGCTTAAATACTGGTGTCAACGAAGCAGGAAAACCCAAATTAAAGCATTCAGTTCTCCTAGTGAAAAATTAGACAGGAAAACAGATTACTGTGCATCAGTATCTTAACAACTGTCAAATCCTTGCATTCTGTTTTGCACCCAGTACACAAGCAACAATATAGTTTCGATTTTTGTTGAACAGATGTAGTCTCTTTCTTAGGTATACCTTTCATTTATCTTGGGCATCTATTTTGATACTTAAAATCTAAAAAGAGTATTTCTTGAAATTGTATCTTTCTTGCTAATAAAAATCAGTTACTCTAAAACTTTATTCATAATTATTCATTAAGATGACTTTAATCTTTCTTTATTGTCAAGGTAGGAGAGAAGTTATCTGATAGCTGAGGAAACGCCACCGATTAATCTAGTGACAAAAATACACATCTTCTTTGCTGTTCCTCCATCTACTTGCTTTGAACTCCCAGGATGTTCAAGGATACTCTGACAATCAGTTGTTCAGCTCAAAAGGATTAACACCACTTAGGATGGAAATTCTAAACATTAAAATCGTGTCTGAAAAATACTCTGACCATCTTGCTTTTTTTTCTGTTTGTTTCTGAGACGGAGTATCCTTCTATCGCCCAGGCTAGAGTGCAGTGGTGCCATCTCATCAGTTCACTGCAACCTTCATCTCCCTGGTTCAAGCAATTCTTCTGCCTCAGCCTCCCAAGTAGCTGGGATTACAGGTCTGCGTCACCATGCCCAGCTATTTTTTTTTTTTTTTTTTTTAGGTGGAGTTAAAGTGATTTTCCTGCCTCAGTCTCCCAGGGCCTGAGCTTCTGGCCAGAGCTTTCTGGATGTTCTCTCTGGCTCTCACAATGTCACAGAGGAAAACGCTGGCGCCATTCCCCTGGTGGGAGGCGCCGGCCACAGGCCCATTCAACAACTCATAGAATCCCTTTCAACATCACTATATTTGAACTTGTCAAACCAGATCTTCTCATGTACCAAGAAGTTTGCAGCCATTTTTCTGATGCTAGCAAAGGACACAGCGACCAGTGAGAAGGAATCGGCGGATGCTGGACGCCTGTGGAAAGGGAGTGCTTTCATCCTTTTTTAGAAAACAAAGCAAAACAAAAACAAGAACTCAATCCTCATTAATAAACTTGTCCAATAAACAAATTTTATTTATTTATTGTAAATAAACTATTTTTAAGCAAGAAAGGCCATAAATATCAAATTTTAAAAAAAGTGTTGACATTTAAAGGTTTTGAAATTTAATCTGATTATTTAAATAAATCACTTTCAAGTGGTGAGTTCATTTGCAATACTATATATAAGCTTTTTAAAAAATTTTTAAATCAGAAGTTAATTCCAAGATTTTGTTAAAGAAAAGCTGAAGGGCTAAACTTCCAAAAGCAAGACTTTAAACAAACAAAATTAGCCAGAGACATTAAACACAGTAAGGTTACCAGTAAGTTTATTAAACACAGACATTGATGTTTCTAATATTGTACAATTTTCAGAGGCCTCACATGACAAAGCCCTTAAGTTTAATGATTTACTTTGAGAAAATACATCTATATTTACTTCAAAGAAGGGTTTCTATGTCATCCTTTTTAATGAGAAATTTAAAATTAATGTGTGTTTAGCAGTGTCTCATTATATAGAATTTGCATTAGCAGAGGATCTGATTAACAACTTGAGATAACTTTCCAACCATGAAGAGTTGCAAAAGGGTTCCAATTGCATCTGCTACCCACACATTCTAAGAACAAGTACTAATTACGAAAAACAAAACCTTTAGTGCCACCAAGGAATAAGAATAGTACAGTCAACCTCATTTGTATGTCATTTTGTAGTTATGCATTATCTCATTTGGGTTTAAGACAGCTGGTGGAAATTATTGGGCACTTCGCAACAGTAAAAAAATGAAGAAAAAAATAAAAAAAATAAAGCTGATGAAATTGGTGTTTGCATTCCCATTTCACAGATGAAGAAACAGGTTCTGAGAGAGCCAGTGGCTTATCCTGGATTATATGTTTAGTAAGATGGGGGATCAGAACTTGAACAAATTGCAAAGCAGATAGTGAC